CTTTCCTGCCTATTTCCCTAGCCCAACTGTTAAAAACCTTTCACTTCTGTGCTGCAGAGATGCCCACAGCCTCTGAGAGAAATAGATAGAAGGTGTGCTTCAGGGGCAAATGAAGCTCCCTCAGCCCTAGACTAATGGTGTGAAAAGGAGGCCCTGGGGAGGGGAGATGAGGGAACCAACTGGGTCCTGAATCTTCAAGAAGCAATTTAAGGCCGAACTGAAGCTGGGATGATGAACAAATCATCCTGATACCTAGGTGAGATAATAGGATGTGGTTGAGATGACCAGGGCGTGCATTCACAGGAATGAGTGGACCTACACGTAGGATGGCTTATAGGCAATGGGACAGATGGAAGACAAGGGGGACGAGGCTTGGTGTTCTGCTTCCGTAACTTGGCTTGGCTGGCTCCGGAGTCAGAGTCTCGCTAGTCAGGGAATGAAGGCAGTAAGACTAACAATTAATGTGATGAATGCCGAAAAGTTAGGAACCCTGGGGCCAGCAGGTGGCGTGGTGGTTAAGGTGCTGGACCCTCCCACATAGCCTGGAACTCCCACATGGTCATGGTTTGAGTTCCAGAACTGGTAGCTTGCTTTCTAACTTTCCATCTCTTTCTCTGTGTCTCCTCTAGCCAAATTAAAATAAATGAATGAATAAATAAAATTAAATTAATAATTCTTTAAAAAAAGAAAGGAAGTTGGGAACCCTTGGGTAGTCCTGATACTGGTTATGGCTTGAAGAGTGGTGGGGTTTGGTAGGACTTGTAGGGGACAAGTAGAAGCCTCAAAATGAGATGGGCAGGAACCAGAGCTTTTCTTCATGGGATTTAAAGTAGCACTCCGTCACCCAACCAAAAAAAAAAAAAAAACATTCTGGAGATTTTTGCATGTGGCTCAAGGTTGACTAGAAGATTACCTGGGTCCCAAGACACTGTAAAATGTTCAGTAACAAGAGAATATTGAGGTAAAGTGGGTTTACAAATAGAATGTATACATTATTTTAATTTTTAAATGAAATTAGCTCACATACCATTATCATTAAAGTGTACTTTTCAGTACATTTGCAAAATTGTGCAACCATCACCACCATCTAATTCCAGAACATTTTCCAAACCTCTCTGAAAGAAATCTCAGAGCCATTAGCAGTTATTCTGCATTCCCTCCTCCCCAGCCCCTGGCAACCACTAATCTACGTTCTGGCTCTGTGGATTTCCCTAGTCTGGATGCTTCATGTAAATAGAATCACACCATGTGGACTGCCTGTCTGGTTTCTTTTACCTGCATGGTGTTTTCAAGGTTCCCTCACACTACAGCATGGATGAATTGTCTATGGAATATTTCATGGAAGCACTTTTTTAAAAGAATTATTTATTTAATTTGATTTATTCATTCATTTATTTTAATTTGACCAGAGAGAGACACACAGAGAAAGAGAGAGAGGAGGAAAGTGAGAAAGCAAGCCACCAGGTCCAGGACTCGAACTGTGGTCCACCATGTGGGAGTGTCCAGCACCTCAACCACCATGCCACCTGCTGGTCCCCAAGGAAGCATTTGATTACTTATCAATGGATGACTAGACATTTGGGGCCTTTGAGCTTGTTTTAAAAGTATGATTATGTAAATGCATTCTTTGACTACCCACTTCCCTCAAATTAAGAAGAATCCATAGCAAAAGGAAGGGCAAGCAATTAGTATTTAGAAAATCAAAGGCATCTCTGGTTTTTAGGTTACACCAATGAAAAGCAGAAAGACGTGATGCCTAAGGCCTTCCGATCCTGTCAGAGTTAAGCCCCCCCACTAAGCCATCAAGTTATTCTAGTAGAAAACCCATGGATGAGCAGGAAGAGCTCAAATCAGTGATTTTTAATCTGTCTTCCAGAGACTCCTAAGGTTTCAGGGAAGTGACTCAAAGGCCACCAAGGGAGCAGGGACTGGAGAGAAAGTGGTTAGGACTCTGAACCCAACACCCACCCTTCCTTTAAGTAGAACAGCTCTAACTTAATTGCCTTACTCATTGGGGTTCTCTGCAAGAGTTCATTTGGAATAACCGAAGGGATTGTCCATGGCCAAGAAAAGTATAGCAACCACTAGTTTTGGTGGTTGTAGAATCGCTGGGCTGGTGCTGGGCCTCTGTGGCGGTTGTTCTTACGAGTTCTTCTGAGGAACTTTGATAGTGACCGTCTTCACCTCTGTGTAGGCTTTCAGTCCATCCTCCCCTAGTTCTCTCCCATTGCCAGACTCCTTAAAGCCTCCAAAGGGGGTGTGGCAGGTGACGATGTTATAGGTATTCACCCACACTGTCCCAGCCTGGAGTGCCTGGGTGAAGTACATGGCCTTATCCAGATCTTGGGTGAACACGGCAGCAGCCAAGCCATACCTGGTGTTGTTGGCCCTCTCAATCACTTCTTCAATCTTCTTGAACTTGAACAGGGGCTGCACAGGCCCAAAGATCTCCTCCTTGGCGATCCTCATGTCATCCTGAACGCCACCAAAGACTGTAGGCTGGATGAAGAAACCACGCTCTCCAAAACGCTCACCACCGCAGAGAAGTCTTGCCCCCTCCTTCTGGCCTAGCTGGATGTAGCCCAGGATTCGTTCAAACTGCTCCTTGTCTACCTGGGGCCCCTGCTGGGTGTCCAGCTCAAAGGGGTTCCCAACTTTCCTTTGCTTAGCTTTCTCCACAGTTCTCTCGAGAAACTCGTCATAAATGGACTCTTCTATGAAGGTTCGGGAACCAGCGCAGCAGCACTGGCCCATGTTGAAGAAGAGGGCTTCATGGCACTGCTCCACAGCATGGCCCATGTCGGCGTCGGCCAACACAATGCTGGGGCTCTTGCCACCTAGCTCCAGGGTGACCCTCTTGAGGTTGGACTCACCGGCAGCCTTCTGAATCAGGTGGCCCACCTCAGTGGAGCCTGTGAAGGCCACTTTGTCAATGTCCATGTGCTGGGCAATGGCGGCACCTGCTGTAGGGCCATAACCTGTGATGATGTTCACTACTCCAGGGGGAAAGCCTGCCTCCTTGATGAGGGAGGCCAAGTACAGGGCAGTTAGGGGGGTCTGCTCTGCGACCTTCATGACCACGGTATTACCTGTGGCAAGCGCCGGGGCGAGCTTCCAACCCTGCATGACCAAGGGGAAGTTCCACGGGATTATCTGGCCACAGACACCAACGGGCTCATGCCGGGTGAAGCAGAAGTGCTCACCATCCATGGGGATGGTCTTGCCATGCCACTTGTCAGCCCAGCCAGCAAAGTACCTGTATACCTTGATGACCTCATCCAGGTCCAAGGCATAAGACTCTTGGAAAGGCTTCCCATTGTCCAAGGTCTCCAGTGAGGCCAAGTAGACACGATCCCGCTCCACTAGGTCAGCCAGGCGGTTCAACAGGAGGCCCCGCTGGGAGGCATCCATCCGGCGCCATGGGGACCCCAGGCGGAAGGCCTCGCGGGCTGCTTTCACAGCCCGATCCACATCAGCCCGGTCTCCTTCAGCCACATGCCCGATGACCTCCCCAGTGGTGGGGTTGACCGTTGGGAAGGTCTTCTTGCTGATGGCATCTTGCCACTCATTGTTGATGAACAGCTGGTTGTAGCGGATGTCTGGATTCAGGATGGGGCGTGGAAGGGCTGCAGAGGAATAGGGGGCGGTCCCACCACGGAGGCAAAGCAGCCGGGGCACCAGAAAGCGCAGCATGATGACCACTCTGGAGGGGGAAAAGGAGCCAAGGTCAACAGAGAGAGGGGCAGGGCAATCACCCAAAGGCCCACCAGCTTGGTTCTGGCATAATGGCACACGACCTCTAAAAACACACTGTAAGGAGCACAGGTGCCCTGGAAAACTCTCTGTTCCAAGTCCACCATGTCCCATCTATCCACTGGCTCACTCCCTTACTTTCTGGGTCTCTGGTCACATGTCACCTGCCCAGCAAGGCCTGCCCCAATCATCCTTTATAAAACTGCAACTCTTCCCAGCCAGCACTCTCTATCTTCATGCCCTACTTTATGTCTCTCCATCTCCAGGCCAAACACTGCATTTACGGGCTTACGTGTTTATGGTCTGTCTGTTGGTATATGTAAGACCCAGGAGAGCAGAATTTTTTTTCCTTCTGTTTGATGCATTGCTGTCTCTGATGCCTGCTTCACCAAGCCATCCTGAATGGGGTCTTGCAGACAGATGCCTGGCACACTCTACCTGGGACATCAGAGCTGGCAGTGCCTCCGAAACCAACCTTGCCCAGCTCCCCAAGCCCAAGTGTCAGCCCGAGCCTTAGCTATCCCAGCGGTGGGCTGGGAGGAAGGGTCTGTTTATTCCTGGCCACGACCTGAAAACAGGGCAGACTATTGCAAGCATCACTGCTACCATAAAATTTAAACAGAACAGAAAATGTATTAAATGAGGATTAAGCAGCAGATAACGTGTCTAAGTTAGCTGAAGCAGTTACTCCCCAGTCAGGATTTGCATCTCTGGGCTTTCACTGTGTCCTATGAGTCCCCCGAGTTGTCACCTGTTTTCATACCCATTGCCACCACCCCTGCAGCAAAATATAATTGCACCTGCCTGTCCCCTTTCCCCCTAGTACTTCTCACCTCCACCCCTGGGCAGGGGCAAAAGCGAAAGACTCAGGTAGAAAAGCCAGGCTCCAGCCAGGTCCCCAGACCCATAAAAGCAATGCTGACCAGGAATGTCCTCCCATGGGAGGCAGGTGAGCCAGCGGACCTGTCGGGGCTGCACTCACGTTCCATTTACGCAGAGATCAGCTCCACGCAGGACAGAAGCAGCCTTGTGCCAAAAGGCCTCTGTCCGAGTGGGGAGAAATCCAGGGGAAGTGGGGAAAGGGGAAGTCTTCAATCCACAGGGTTGGCAGGGCTCACCAGGCAGGAGAGATGGTCACAGACCCAGCCCACACCAAGGCTGTTCCTACTCTTAGGGCTTATACAGGGGTCATGCCAGCACCTCCATGTGCAGATAGGAGGTCACTGCCCACAGGAGCACAGGACTTCACAGTTTGCAGGCCATTTTCCCACGGTAAATGTGCTGGCCAGCCTGCAGCTCCTGGGGGATTAGAGCAGGTCACTGACATCGCCATTCTGGAAGAAAGCTGGGGATCAGAGAGGTTCTTGGACTCACTGAGGCCTTAAAGTATAGGAGCCTGACACCAGATTTCTATGGCCCTAACTTCGTGTTCCCTCTCCTATATGGGCAAGTTAACGTTTTACCTTCATCCTGTATTAGAGCCCACTGTGGGAAGGCTCAGATCTGGAGCCTATTGGAAAGGGGTGCATCCAGCTCACCCAGACTGCAGGGAAAGGGTGGGCGTGTGTCCCAGCCTCCAGGCTACCAGGTCAGGAGACCTAGGCTGGGGTGGGCTGGGTGGGCGAGGTGCTGAGGTCGAACTAATGTGGGAAGATCTGGGGGGTGGGGAGGGTCTGCGTCTCTCGGACCCATCTAGCACCTAGAGGACGGTGGCAGAGGTGTTGGGGAGGGAACGAGGAGCGGGTCCTACAATGCCCACCGAGAGAAAAGGCGGGGCCGCTGATGGGGAAGCCAGGCCCAGAGGAAACCCTCCATCTCCGGGATGGAGCTGCGGCCTGCCCTGAGCCACTGAGGGGAGAGGGGCGTTAGTCACCTGCAAAAAGTGCGGGCTCAGGCTCAGGTTCAAGCTCACGTTCAGGTTCAGGTCCACGTTCAGGCTCTCCGGGGCTGCCGCCGCTGCCCGCCCAGGCTCGCCGCAGGCCCCACCTCCGCGCAGGCCGAGGTTCCGTGGCCAATGAAGCTCCGCCTGCGCCTGGGGCGCCACCCCCATCCCGCCCCACCTCCCTGCATTTCCTGATCCCAGCCCCTCTCCCCGAGGAGCCCCACCAGTCAGCCGCCCCCTTCCTCGTTTGTCTCCGCGCTGCCCGCCGCCATGCTGCTCAGATCTGGGGGCTTACTTGGAAAGGGGACCAGGAGACCAGAGAGGGGCCGGGGCAACCCCAGGTCCCGAAGAAAATCTCTCGGAGAGTAGACCCCAAATACGTTTATTTCTTCCTCTCTGGACCCCAAATACATTTCGCACGTCTCCCTCCGCATTGCCGTTGACTACCTTGTTAGACTGCTGTCCTTGAGCCAGGCTCTCCCTAACTTCTGTCTCACTCTCCCTCGTTTGTTTTACGTGGGTTCACTAATTTCTATGTCTTCCACTTTCATTGTTCTCTCCTCCAGTATCTTTTAAGATTTCATATTTGCACATTATTTCATTCTAACGACAAAAAGAATATATGCACAGTGTAGAACCCTTGGAAAACACAGGAAAGCATGAAAGAAGAAAAAACTTACCTATCACCTCACCCAAAGGTAAATATTAAGTTAAAGTGTCCATTCTGCTGGCATTTTTTTCTTCTGCATCTTTTAAAAATTCTTTCAGTAAGAATGAAGTCATCCGCCACCATGTATCATAGTGGTTGAGGCTCTGGGCTCCCACTTGGCCGACCATGGTTCAAGTCTGTACCTGGCAGCTTGCTTTCTCACTTTCCCTCTCTGTCTGTCTCTTTCTGGTTAAATTAAAAAAAATAGTACTAATACATAAAATAAAATTAAATAATTTTAAAAAAAGAAGTCATCTAGTGTCTGGTTCTTTGGCCTGGTGATTAAGGCAGCTGGATCCCACATGCCCACAGTGCAGGAAATCCTGGCTGCCATGGCTTGGAGAACAACCAGGTGAAAACATGCTGGGTGGGGAACCAGCAGTTGGTGTAATGGCTATGTCGCTGGACTCCCACGTAGTCGACCGCGGTTCATGTCCCGGACCCGGTGGCTTAAAAAACTCACACCGGGCGCGTGTGCGTGCGTGCCCAAGATCCCGAGAGGAGAATGGAGGAGAAGGGATTGCGGCGTGACCATCCGCCCTGGGGGGTGATTTCTCGCTTTCTGTCTCTGTGTCTCTCTCTGTCTGTCTGGTGAGCGCACGCGGCCTATAGTAAAAAAAAAATCTCTCAAAAAAAAAAAAAAAAAGAGGAAAAGAAAAGAAGAAGCA